ATTCTATTCTATTCTATTCTATTCTATTCTATTCTATTCTATTCTATCCTACACTATTCTATAGGATTCTTATCCTATCCTATCCTATCCTATCCTATCCTATCCTATCCTACTGACATCTGGACCTAGCTATGGTAACTGGAAAACGCCAGCATCAAACCTGTTTATACTCTTTCCAGGTTTTTTGGAAGCTAACGCTGCCATTGATCCGGCGTTGAATGACTGTCCAGCCTCCTCCGTCGGTTTCCATGTCACAAAAGGCCTGGAAAGGTAGAAAGAAGAAGCTTGATAAAGGGAGAGAGAGAGGGTGGAAAAAAAACAAGGAAAGAAGAAAATCACCAGCTTGAAATCTTTAGGATGGTCAACAGGGTCTTTGACCAACTGCTGGTGAGGAGGGCCCATATTTTCATTTTTGGTTAGAAATACCCAATTTTCTTGATATTTCCCCCCAGATACCAAGAATTATGGATACTCCGTGCAGTGACGGAGAGAGAAAAGCAGAATTTTTTTTCCCTATGGATAGTCCTCGACTTACAACAGTTCATTTAGTGACCATTCAAAGTTACAACGACTGAAAACAGGGACTTATGACTATTTTTCATACTTGCGACCTTTGCAGCATTCCCCCATGGTCACGTGATCAAAATTCCCCGTATTTATGACGGTTGTTGTGTCCCAGGGTTACATGACCCCCTTTTGCGACCTTCTGACAAGCAAAGGGGAAGCCAGATTCACTTAACAGCCGGGTTACTCGCTTAACCATGGCAGTGATTTGCTTAACAACGGTGGGAAGAAAGGTCGTAAAATGGGGCAAAACTTGCTTAATGTCAGTGCGTTTGCAGCATGGCTACTATTATGAGGAGCAAAACACAGTACACAGAGGTTTAGACATTTAACCGTGGTTTGCATACAAGACATCTACGTGGTAGGCAAATACCTGACAAGCAATCAATCTTCTTAACTCTATACGGAGAACTCTGCAATGGATATAGGACACAAGGTGAAAGAACACACCCTCTAATGGCTGCCTTATATAATCACCTCTTAAAGGGGTAAAGATCCCTTCTTCATCTTAAAAGGGCAATACCCGTGCTATGCTGATTCATACTTATTGCATCAGGCTTATATTGCATCAGCCTTACGTTGCTGTTGGTCAGCTCTTAAAATCTATACCTTAACACTTAACAACTGTCTGACTTAACAACAGAAATTTGGGGCTCAATTGTGGTCGTAAGTTGAGGACTACCTATATAACATTTAAAAAGTGAAGTTTTTTCCTTCCTTTGTAGCAGCAAGATTACATATATTTTATCACTGTTTGAATTAATCTTTGAGTTTGGGACTGAGAATGGGAGGTTTGTACTTTTGAGCAAACTCCACGGATTTCCTTGGGGCTGTGATTAATCACTTTTTTTCAACATTGTAGTAATGTGGGATGTTATCTAAATGAACGGTTGTAAGTTCAGGACTAGCTGTATTGTCCTGTTTCTCAACCTTGATATCTGTGTGGACTTCAACTTCCAGTATGCTGGCTTTGCAGTTCTGGGAGTTGAAGTTCACACATTTGCAAGTTCTCATGGTTGACATTGTTGGAAAAGGCGGAAGGAAAGAGAAGAAAACAACCGACAACATGGTGGATGGACTCAGTAATGGAACAACATTGGAAGACCTGAAGGACAGATCAGCCTGGAGAAGGTTGATCTATGTCAGTGTTTCCTAACCTTAGGCATTTTAAGAGATATGGACTTTGACTCCCAGAATGCCCCTGCCAGATGGCTAATGTTGGGAAACACTGGTCTATGTGGTTTCTATATGGTTACATCCCACGCAGACTGGACATCCATTTGACTGGGATGTTATAAGGTTTTCTGCCTTGAGCAACGCAACGCAATGCAACGCAACGCAACACAACCCAGCCCAACCCAGCCCAGCCCAGCCCAATTCAACCCAACCCAACCCAACCCAACCCAACCCAACTTAACCTAACCTAACCCAACCCAACCCAACCCAACCAACCAACCAACCCAACCCAACCCAACAAGCCAACCCAAACAACCAAACAAGCCAACCCAAACAACAATAACCAAGCCAACCCAAACAACAACCAACCCAACCCAACCCAACCCAACCAACCAATCAACCAACCAACCAACCCAACCCAACCCAAACCAACCAACCAACCAACCAACCAACCAACCAACCAACCAACCAGATTCATCTAATCTTTGGGTCAACTGACCTTTTTGGGTTCAGTCAGATTGTTGATGTGGAGGGTGTAAACCCCACTGAGGTTGAATCCGGATTGAAGGATGTCCATGCAGTCCTGGAAAAGCCGCTCTTCTTTTTTCAGAAGAACTGTTGAGGAAAAAAAAAAAAGCTCTCTGCAGATTTTTGGATTGAAGGAGGGAAGCATCTGTGTTATATAAACAAAAAGATGAGATGGGTGGGGGGAAGGTTTTGGAACTATTTTGAGATGGTCTATCAATTTAATAAATTAATAAACAAAACGTTGGATGTTCCAGAAGGTACCTTTTCCTTGGGAGACTAACGAGACCAAATTCTGGACCGATTCCAGGAGTTCCAACTGCTGTTGCTGAAGGAGGCTGGCGTTACTGCTGGCGACATGAAGGGACTTCTCCAGACCTTCGATGGTGTTGCTCTGGTGACTCACCAGCTGCTGGAGGTGGTCCTTCTCGGTCCGAATGTCCTCCAGCTCCTTCAAGTGCTTGGTTTCCATCTGCCGGACTCGGGTTTCTAAGATGCTGCAGAGATGGGAAGACGGTCGCTGTCAACTCGTAAAGCATTCCTGGCCTACTCTCGAGTTGCCATAGGCAGGAGGGGGAAAAAACTGGGCAGCTACAACCAGAAACACATTCCATGCATACCTTCCTTTCAAGGCTGTATCCCAGGCTACCGGGACCAGCCGGAGAGGTGTGATCTCTACAGACCAAGAAAGAGCTCCATTGGAGAATGTGATTTATGACTCACCCTGGGGGGGGGGGAACAGGGTCATAGGTGGACCATAAATTACGTGAGGCAGAGCTGACTCCATTTGGGCACGTGCAAGAAAAACCAGAAGTACACATATAGACTGGGGGAAACCAGGCTCAGTAGCAGGAACTGTGAGAGGGATCTTGGAGTCTTAGTGGACAACCAGCTAAATAGGAGCCAGCCGTGTGCAGCAGCAGCCAAAAAAGCCAATGCAATCCTAAATTGCATTAACAGAGGGATACAATCAAGATCAAGGGAAGTTCTAATACTACTCTATAAAGCCTTAGTAAGACCACACCTAGAGTACTGCATCCAGTTTTGGTCACCACATTATAAAAAAGATGTTGAGACTCTGGAAAGAGGGCAGAGAAGAGCAACCAGGGTGATTTAGGGGACTGGAGGCTAAAACATATGAAGAACGGTTACAGGAACTGGGCTTGGCTAGTCTAGTAAAGAGGACCATGATTGCAGCCTTCCAATATTTGAGGGGCTGCCACAGGGAGGAGGAAGGAGGTCAAGCTATTCTCCAAAGCACCTGAAGGCCAGACAAAGAATAATGGATGGAAACTGAACAAGGAGAGATTCAACCTGGAAATAAGGAGGAATTTTCTGATAATGAGAACAATCAATCCATGGGACAAAAGTTGCCCTCAGAAGTTGTGGGAGCGCCATTACTTGAGACTTTCAAGAAGAGATTGGACTGCCATTTGTCAGAAATGGTGTAGGGTCTCCCGCTTGGATGGTGGGGTTGGACTAGATGACCTTCCAATTCTAATTATCTATTATCTGACATGTTGCTCCTAATAAATAACTGGATTTCTTTTGAAGCTTGGCTTGAGGCTCATGGATAGATACATACATAGATAGATAGATGATAGATTAGATAGATAGATGATATAGACAGACAGATAGAGATAGACATAAACTGGGAGCTGGCTTCATTTGGGTACATGCTGACATGTTGCTCCTAATAAATAACTGGTTTTCTTTTGAAGCTTCTCTGTCTCTGTCCCTCTCTGTTTCTTTGTCTCTCTCTGTCTCGCTCTGTGTCTCTCTCTGTTTCTGTCTCTGTCTCTCTTGTCTCTCATCTCTTGTCTCTCTCTCTGTCTCTCTCTCTGGCTGTCTCTCTCTCTCTCTGTGTGTCTCTGTCTCTCTCATTTCTCTCTCTCTCTGTCTCTCTCTGTCTCTGTCTCTCTGTCTCTGTCCCTCTCTCTCTCTCTCCCTCTCTCTCTGGCTGTCTCTCTGTCTCTCTCTGTGTGTCTCTGTCCCTGTCTCTCTCTCTCTCTGTCTCTCTCTCTCTCTGTGTCTCTCTCTGTGTCTCTGTCTCTCTCATCTCTCTCTCTCTCTCATCTCTCTCTCTCTCTCTCTGGCTGTCTCTCTCTGTCTCTGTGTCTCTGTCTCTGTCTCTCTGTGTGTGTGTCTGTCCCTGTCTCTCTCTGTCTCTGTCTCTCTCTCTCTCTGTCTCTCTCTGTGTCTCTGTCTCTCTCATCTCTCTCTCTCATCTCTCTCTCTCTCTCTCTGTCTCTCTCTCTGGTCGTCTCTCTCTGTGTCTCTGTCTCTCTCTGTGTCTCTGTCTCTCTCATCTCTCTCTCTCTC